TGGAATTTCTTGCTATACTTACTCCAGAGAATGGGGTTTGGAAGTAGATGGAGGAAATAGATAGAGACATGTCTTTCATCTGTAAAGTTCTTTGTTCTTGTGAATGGGTCTCCTACTGGTTTCTTTAGGTGTTCTCGGGGTTTAAGACAAGGAGATCCCTTGTCGTCTTTCCTTTTTCTTATTGTAATGGAGGGTTTGAGCAGACTTACGAGGAGGGCAGAGGATCTCGGTCTTATACAGGGCTTTAGGATGGGCAGAGATGTAGTCCATCAGTTGAAGATCTCTCGTTTACTATTTCCGGATGATACCCTGGTTTTTTTGATGTTGACGTGTCTCAACTTAGATACTTAAGGTGCATTCTGGCTTGTTTTTAGGTCAACGTGGCTAAGAGCGTGCTTGTCCCGGTAGGGGATGTTCATGATATTTCCTCCTTAGCTGTAGTCTTTGGGTGTAGGGTGAGTTCTTTTCCCATTCCTTACTTGGGTTTGCCCCTAGGGGTTTCCTCTAGGAGAGTCGGGAGTTGGGATCCTCTGATTGACAGGTATGTGAAGAGATTGGTAGGAAGGAATAAGCAATAGATGTCCAAGGGAGGGAAAGTTACTCTTATAAAGAGCACTTTATCGAGCCTTCCTACTTATTTTTTATCTATGTTCCAAATTCCATGCTCTGTTGCCAAAAGGATCGAAAAAATCCAAAGGGATTTCCTTTGGGGCGGTAGGGGCGAAGAGTGTAAGTATCACTTGGTCAAATGGGAGCAAGTTTGCAAGCCCATGAATCTGGGTATCAGGAGGTTGGTTCCCTTTAATCAAGCTCTCTTGGGTAAGTGGTTATGGAGATTTGGGAGGGAAAGGCATTGCCCTTGGCGAAGGCTAGTTTCATGTCGTTTTGGGGAAGAGAGTGGCAGCTGGTTTACTCGTCCGGTTTCTATAATGGGAGGAGTTGGTGTGTGGAAATCCATTCGGAATGGTTGGGATGTCTTCTCTTCCCACATCAGATTCAAAGTTCGTGATGGCAGATGTGTTCAATTTTGGGAGGATCTCTGGTGTGGTGACCATCCATTATCTTATACATTTCCCAGATTATACAGTATTGCAGTTGATAGACATGCTTGCGTAGCTAACTGTAATCGGCTTGATAGTATTGGGATTACGTCGGATGTTCACTTTAGGCGTTCTTTTCAGGATTGGGAGATGGACGAGGTATGCGTTCTTTTGGATCTGTTGTATCGGTAGGAAGCAGTTGGCAGAGGTAATGATGATATTATGTGGATCTCCTCTTCTCATGGTTGTTTTGAAGTACGAACCTTGTTCTTATGCCTATCTAATTTTGATAGCCTTGATTTTCCAGGGAAGACCATATGGCGTTCTGTAGCTCCAACTAGAGTGAAATTCTTTGTATGGACTGCTGTATGGGGTAAGATCCTGACGATTGACAATTTGAGGAAGAGTGGTAATTGTATCGTTAATTGGTGTTGCCTGTGCAAATGAGATGGTGAGTCAGTTGATCATATCCTCATGCACTGTCTTATGGCGTACGACTGCTGGAATCTTATACTCAGTTTGTTTGGCATGCTTTGGGTAATGCCCCGATCTTCTAAGGATTTGATTCATGCATGGAGAGGATGTCGTGTAAGAAGTGATGTACGCGATTACTGGAGGATTGTTCCACATTGCGTGTGGTGGTGTATTTGGAAGGAGAGGAATAGCAGAATGTTCGAGAGGACGGAGTCGTCCATGGCAATGCTGAAACTTCATATTATTCGTTCTCTTTTTAGTTATGTGAAGAGGAGTTCTTGCTCCTCCTCCGATGATTTAATTATTTTTTTAGATTCTTTGGGGCCTTAGATCTCGGTTCCACTTTTGTATAAGGGAAATTCCCCTTTTGAACGCCTTTTTATTCAATTATTACTTATCACAAAAAAAAATATATCTCTAATGATTTTCGGTCTCATCTTAATAAATTGGGGATTCTTCATCAGATGACATGCCCTTATACACCGGAACAGAATGGAGTGGCGGAACGTAAAAACCGTCATCTCATGAGTGTTGTTCGGTGTCTTTTACGTGGTATGTAGGTTCCTCAGTCTTATTCAAATATGACAGTTCTCACTGTAGCTTTTTTGATTTATCAAACCCCTAGTCGAACTTTAAGGGGTAAGGTTCCATTACATATTTTGCAACCAGACAACACCCTTTTCCCTATTACGCCTCGTGTTTTTGATGTACATGTTTTGTTTAGGACCGACGTCCTACACGTACAAAGCATGGTGATAAAGTTATTCGTTGCGTTTTTTTGGGTTATTCGACTATGTCGAAATGGTACCGTTGTTATGACCCTAGTACTCGTCTTCTTTTTTCAAAGTTGTTCCCATCTTTGGCACATATTTTTTGCAGGTTCCGTCTTCTTTTACTCCATACTTTCTCATCCCTGGCTTGGCCCCTACCAGTTCTATCCTCAACATCTCCTCCCGTGGCTTGCCCGAGCTTCGCGTATACTCTCGTCGCCCACGAGATTCCCCCTCATGCTACCTTGCCACTGTCCTCTTGTGGTATAGGTAATCCTAACCCTGCTATTCCCAATTTTACTGCAAATCCTACCTTGCCTACTTCTACTGTAGATCCTGCATCGCCTGCTCTTGATTCTGATTTGCCTATTACTCTCCGTAAAGGTTAAAGGACTTGTGTGACTAATCACGTATTTTCTTATCAGGGACTTTCACACAATTACTGTCCTACCTTGCTCCCACCTCGGCTATTTCCATCCCTTGAGATACAAGCCTACATTGGATAGCATCCATGGCTGCTGAGATGGATGTCTTTTGAGAAAAATAGGACATGGGAGCTTGTTACTTTACCACAAGGAGAGAGGACTGCTGGCTGTAAATGGGTATTTACAATCAAATATAAAGTGATCGCTATAAAGCTAGGATGGTCGCGAAGGGCTTTACACGAACTCCGGGGAAGGACTTTAGTGCCACTTTTGCTTTGGTCTCCAAGCTGACTACTATCCGCCTTCTTATTTCCTTAGCGGCTTGCTACTCTTGGCCTCTTCACTAGTTAAATATGAAAAATGCCTTTCTTCATGGGGATTTGATAGAAGAAATTTATATGGATTCTACTCCTAGTTTTCAGCTTCGGGGGAGTATTCTGGGAAAGTATGTCGCCTTCTAAAATCCTTATATGGACTGAAGCAGTCACCTCGGGCAAGGTTTCACCGATTCGGTGATGTAGTTATTTCTATTGGTTTCACTCGATGTCACTCAGATCACACATACTTCTTCTGCCGTAGTCCAGAAAATCATTGTGCCATTATCTTAGTATATGTTGATGACATAATCGTCACAGGAAATAGACCTTGGGCAGGCTTTTGAGGTTAAAGACTTAGGTCCTCTTCGATTTTTTCTTGGTATTGAGGTTGCACGCTCTAGGCATCGTATTTTGCTCTATCAGTGGAAGTATGCATTAGACCTTCTCAGGACACTAGTATGCTTGGGTGTTGTCCTGCTTCCTCTCCTATGGATTCGACGCATCGGCTTCATGCGGAGTCTGGAGACCTTCTTCTAGATCCCTTTGCTTATCAGCGCCTTGTTGGCCACTTAATTTATCTAACAAACATTAGACCTGATCTCACATTTGCGGTTAGTATTGTGAGTCAGTTCATGCATGCTCCTCGGACCTCACACTTAGATGCCGTATACAGTCGGTACCTCAAGTCCTGCCCAGGACTTGGTCTATTCTACAAATCCACACCACAACCTCTTATCTCGTGCTACACCGATGCTGGTTATGCTGGATCTCTGACTGACCGTCGCTCTACTTCAGGTTTCTGTACTTTTCTCGAGGGCAATTTAATTACTTGGAAAAGTAAGAAACAAAGCTTTGTGTCTTGTTCTTTTGCAGAGGCAGAGTACTGTGGCATGGCTCAGGGCACTTGTGAGATCCTCTGGCTTCGTTCCCTATTGATTGAGCTAGGATTCCTTGTTTTAGTTCATCAACTCTCTTCTGTTATAACCGATTTGCTATTATGCTTGCATCTGTCGTAGTTTTTCATGAGAGGACAAAGCATATTGAGGTTGATATTCACTTTCTCATGGAGAAAGTGCATTGTGGAGTTATCCATACTTCCTTCTTTTCTTCTACTAATCAGCTTGCCGATATGTTGACAAAGTCAGTAGGACAATCTGCTCTTCACTCTGGTATTGGCAAGCTGGGCTTAGTTGATATCTTCGCTCTAGCTTTAAGGGGAGTATTGGGAGAAAATATAGGGATTTGATCTGTATTGGGAGTATCTTTAAGGATTGGATTTGATTTGATCTTAATTTTATTTTATATGATATTATTTGCATCATGTGCATATTAGAGGCATAGGATCATTGATTTGATTTACTTTCCACTTATATAATATTCAGTCTGTATAAATTAGGAGCATGGCTAATGAGAATTTGTGGCTTACAAGGGCCTTTAACATTCAACTTGTAGAAACATTAGTCACCCTCTATCCTAATTAATTCATTTGTGTCTGAAAGTTGACGAAAACAACTTTGTAATGCAGAAGCACTGAATATCTGTGTCAAAATAATCGTTAGGAATAGGAAATGTTTGTGCGTGATTTTATATGGGGGAATTCTTGTAAATCTGTTAGGATATTATACTTTGTTAACCATCCATAGTGATGAAGTGGTAGCAATTGTACAAGAACTATTATGCTAGTGGAAATAGTTCACCATTAATTAGCTTTGAATGACTATTATGCATCTGTACAAGGACTCTAGCCACATAAACACACTTAATTTTCTATAAGAATATTGTACATTTAGGCATTGTGATTCCTAGAGTTTTTGTTCCATAGAAGTGCAGTTGAACTAGGCCTTTTTTTTTGTGTGTGTGAAGAAGTGCTGGATTCAGGCTTTTCAGCTTCGTCCTACACTTCCATTGCATCATGTACTATAGGTTTCATATGCTTCTACCCCGTTAATAATGCTTGAAAATTTGATTGCACAGGTTTGGCAAGCACTTTTGTTAGTCAGGGCCTTGGTTCTGCCACCTTCAGAAGACACTGAAACTTGGCTCAAGTTTGCTTCTCTTTGCCGAAAAAGTGGCAGGATCAGTCGGGCTAGATCTACATTAGTTAAATTGTTACAGGTGAGATACCTGTCCATCTGAGTGGATAAGTTGCTAAATTTAGTGTTATTTTTTTTCCCCTTATTTGTGTGTTTATATAACTTTATTTGTTCAGTTTGACCCAGAAACATCTCAAAATATACGGTATCATGCACCTCCTCAAGTAATGCTGGCTTACTTGAAATACCAATGGTCACTCGGGGAGGACCATAAGCGGAAGGAAGCCTTTTCTAGACTCCAGGTACGCATTAAATTTTCCATTTAGGGTTTGAAACACATAATGGGTACCACACTGTACTGGCCCTTATCCATATTCTGGTGCATATACTTTATGGCTGCTATTTTTACTTTTTAGGAGCTTGCCATTGAGCTTTCATGCACACCGAATCTTCAATTGGCTACACCAACTGGCTTAACGGGTGTCTCCAGTGCTCCACTCATTGCCCGAGTATATCTTAGACTTGGAACTTGGCAGCGGGCACTTTATCCTGGATTTGATGATGATTCTGTTAAAGGTTATCAGCCTATTGTGTGTTTGTAATCTCTTTAGCCTTTGATTTCTTTTGATGTGTTACTGATTTTTCTGATGAGTGGTTGTCAATCTTTTTAGAAATCCTTGACGCATTCAGCAATGCCACTCATTATGCACCAGAGTGGGGAAAGGCGTGGCACACATGGGCCCTTTTTAACACAGCAGTGATGTCACATTATACTTTAAGAGGTTTTCCTACTGTTGCAGCACAGTTTGTTGTTGCAGCAGTCACTGGATATTTCCACTCCATAGCATGTGCGGCTCATGCTAAAGGAGTGGATGACAGTCTACAGGTAAATCACATCCTTTGACATAAGAGCATGGTGCGTTATAAAATTCAGTTTATATGTACACGAAACTTGCTACTAACTTGTCTTATTATTCATTGGTTTAGTCCATTTTTCTTTATTTCCAACATACCTACTAGAAAGCCATATAAGCTACATGAACACCTTTTTCTTTTATGTCAAGCACTTGTTTGCTAGAGTGTTTGTATGTTTCTTTAACAGGCGGTTTTGTAATTTAGAGTGTGATTTGAAAAGTTGGTCATATGTAAAATGAATGGCATAATATGTAGTTGTGGCATGCTGCAGCCAGTTGGGAAAATGCTTTGCTTCTTGTTGTATGGCATTGGAACTAGTTCTTCTCCGTTTATTGACTTTTTTGCTCGCATTTATATCTTGTAACGAGATCATGAGATAATCTTTTTTTTTTGCAAAGACGCCACTCTCTCTCTCTAGAAACCTCCACCGACCCACCCTTCCAGCCGCCTCACACTTCGTCTTCCTCATCTCGTTTTCTCCCTGCTCCCTTCCATGGGAGTGGGGAGGTGATGTTCTTGCCTCCCATAGGCTAAATAAAAGCGGCGTGTAATACTAGGTACGCTCTGTGGGTGGTTTTCACGCCGTTTTTGCTTTTGTTTTGCTAGATCTGCTCTTGTTTGGCTTGTTTCCGGCTAGACTGGGCGAATTTGTTGCTTTTTCTCCGGCTAGATCTCAAATCTATGTCGGTTTTTGTGATCCCCGACTTGTCCTGGATTTGGGTGGTTTTTCCACCTGTCGGAGGCACCTTGTGGATGTAGCTTTGGAGCTGTTGCCTTGATGATGGCCTGACCTGTGTGTCACTCCCATTGCTGCTCGTCTCTCTTGGTGGTTTCCGTTGTTTTTCTCAGCAAATCTGGAGCCTGGTCTTCATTTTTCTTATTTTTGCTTCATGATTTGTATGCCTTTTATGGCTTGCCTTTGTTGTATCTGTACTGTCCTTTATGGATGTGTTGTCTCGATGCTGTATGGCTGTTCTCTTATTGCTAGGGTAAAAAAAAAAAAAAAACTAGGTCATGGGATAAGTCCTTACAATCTGTACAATTTCTGAAGGACAATAAAGTGAGCTTGCTTGTCAGGACCAATATCTGATCATTTTGCTTGATTTTTAGATGAAAATTGAGGGATTTGTTTTGGTCTAATGAAGTTGAAAGAAGAGGGCCTTCTATTTTGGAGATGAGTTAAGCCATATCTTTAGAAGAAGCAGATTATGGTTGTTGGGGAGGTAGAGGAAGAGGCACAGTAACTGTTCAGGTTTAGCACTACACAGCTTACCTAAGGATTTAGAAGAAGATAACTCATGAATTTAGAAAGAACATTTCTTAAATATTTTTGATGTTTTTTTATTTTTTATTACCATGCATAATTACTTCTACTTGTCTTGCTCACCATTGGCCGCTTGTACACCTATTAGGTAAAGAAGTCTACACTACTATTTTCTTTTCGGACAATACTTTGGGTCCTGCCCTATGACCAACTTGGTCCTTATAGGTGACGTGGACAAGTGAAAGTTCGACACCTGTCCAAAATCTAAAAAATGATTTAAGAAATGGCTCAAACCCGTTTTTAATTGGTAAACTGGGTCTTATGTTTCAACTCATTTCAAAAATCACGTCTTTCTCTAATTCCCAGCAAAATCACAATCCCTTTTCTCTCTCCCCTGCAAAATCACAATCTCCTTTGCTGTCCCCAACAAGATATAGAATCGTAGACTGTATGGCTTCAAGAGACACAGACTAAGAACATATATACCTCTAGATTTTGCAGAGGAGAACTGTGAACAAGATCAGAACTTTCTCTGACATAATAACATGTGATTTGTGTTATATAAACTTGTGTATATTTATTTTTCTCAGTACGATATGAGAAACATGTCCCTCTTAGGGTTGTGAATTGCAATACACGTGATTTGACATTGCGGGTTTGGGAATGGAAGAGGTGGGGAGCAGCGGAGTTGGTGCTCAGGTAGCGGAAGAGAAGGATGAAGGTTAGGGTTTTGGATGGAGGTTGGGTAGCTGAGCTATGGAGAGAGAGAGAGAGAGAGAGAGAGAGAGAGAGAGAGAGAGAATACGATATTGTTGAATTCCGGATTTAGATCCCTATTTTCTTGGGAAGAGATTTTTATTTTAGTTAAGTTGAATTTGTGAATATAGAAAGTAGGAGATTTGGTTACTTGATTTTTTATTTTTTTAAAAATCTGTTAGTTATTAGATTTGATCTTCTTTCTAGTAATTAGCTGCTAGAATTAAGGAGATTTAATTATAGGTTAGTTGTATTTTTCTCCTATAAATTCTTTGTACCCTACGGTTTTCAGAATGAATGAAATAAGGGATTACTTTACCCTTTTTTTTCTTCATGGTATCAAAGCACCCTCTGAATCGATAGAAATTTTTTTTTGGTCAAATACGGTATGGCCAGCGAGAAAAACAGTACCATCTCAGATGGTAACTCTCAACCAGAGACAGTCCTTCCCGGCAACGAAGGTGGTGTATTAGAAAGCTCTATTGTTCCCATTGCAGGTCCATAAACTGAACGGACAGAACTATCTTCAATGGTCTCAGTCCGTTATGATGTTTATCTGCGGAAAAGGGATAGACGATTATCTCACAGGCACTGCAAAGGCTCCACCGAAGGAAGATGCAATGTTCAAGGTGTGGAAATCTGAAAACAATATGGTGATGTCATGGTTAATCAATTCCTTGAAAAATGAGATTGGTGAGGATTTCTTATTCTATGGGACAGCGAAAGAAATATGGGATGCAGCAAGAGAGACCTACTTTGACAATGAAAATACGGCAGAACTCTTCGAGATAAAGTGTCTTCTTCATGATCTTCGACAAGGGGAAATGTCGGTCACTCAATACTTTAACACTCTCACTCGTTATTGGCAACAACTGGATATGTTTGAAGCACTAGAATGGGACTGCCCTGGAGATAACATCAAATACAAAAAGATTGTTGAGAAAGATAGAATTTTCAAGTTTTTGTTTGGTCTTGATAAAAAATGAGGTGAGAGGAAGAATTCTCAGACTGAAGCCTCTGCCATCCATCCGTGAAGCCTTCTCTGAGGTTCGAAGAGAAGAGAGCTGTAAGAAAGTGATGATGGTAAATCAAAACATCGCTGCCCCAACTGAGAGTTCAGCTCTTGTTTCTCGTGGAGTGAACTCTACTGGTAATGACAACCGGAATAACAAGAACAGACCACGGTGTGACTGCTGTCATAAAACAGGACACACCAGATATACCTGCTGGAAGATACATGGCAAGCCCGCTGATTGGAAACCGAAGAACAAATGGTAGCCGCCTCATGAATGTGAAGGCCGCGGTTTTACAGCCTTTACCGACGAGCAATCGCCTGCAGAAACAACTAATGATGATAGGTGAATACTCTGAGAGAAAGAGAAGAAGAAATTCTCTTATTGCATATTTAGAAATTGTACAGAAACAATACATAAATAGGAAAATTTGGAGGCTACAGACCAGCTACTCAATTTCCTAAACTGATGGGAATAAAACAAGCAACAAATAAATAGGAATTAAACTAGGAAAGTCTACACACGGAAAGAATCAGAATCAAATCAAAATTAAATAGGAAAAACAATCAGCTAGCGTTTACACCCTAAGATTAGGGTGCCAGCTATACACGGATAAATCCATGTCTCCACTATGTATTGAGAAAAAAGAAAGAATACTCAACAACTCCTCTTTTCAGCAAATAGCAAATGGACCTTCTTCAAAAGACATTCAGCCAATCTCGATCAAATTCTGTCATTGGAACTGGTTCTATAGCACAGAAAGGTAATTTTTTGAGTGCTTTAAATGTCAAAAACGAGAAACCATGTTCTTGGATAATGGACTCAGGTGGTTCAGACCATATGACTGGAGATGCCTCTTTATTTCTCACTGACAACCCTTGTTCTGAGAACTATAAGGTCCGCATTGCTTATCGGTCCGTATCCACGGTGGCTGGTACAGGTTCTATTGTTATTTTAAAGAATCTGATGTTAAAATCTGTTCTGTTGGTCCCAAATTTGACTTGTAACCTACTGTCCATTAGTAAAATTACCAGGGATCTTAACTGTATTACTAAATTTTTCCCTACACGCTGTGAATTTCTGGAGTTGGGTTCGGGGAGGACGATTGGCAATGCTAAGGGGTGTGCGGGACTCTACCTTCTTAGAATTGATGACTCTTTTGAAGAACAAACTCAAAGTGCAAATTGGGTATCCTTTCTTTCAGGTGTTAGCTCTTGTGATGATAGTGCAATTCAGTCATGGCATTATCGATTAGGACGTCCTAGTTTCTCTTATCTTGAAAAACTATTTCCTTTATTATTGATTAATAAAAATTCAAAGTTTTTTCAGTGTGAGATTTGTCAATTATCTAAACATGTTCGAAATGTTATTCCAAGTCAACCTTATAAAGCATCTCATCCATTTTCAACCATTCACAGTGATATTTGGGGCCTTCTAAGGTCAATGGGCTAGATGGTTTGTATCCTTTGTTTATAACCACACTCGAACTACTGGGATATTTCTTATGAAAGAAAAATCAGAAGTTGGTTTAATCTTCAAGACTTTAACACCATGATCCAAATACAATTTCAAGCCAAAATCCAAGCCTTTCGAGCAGACAATGGTAGAGAATATTGTCATTCTATTCTCAGGGATTACCGAATAAGTAATGGCATTATTCACCAAAGTTCTTGTGTGGACACCCCACAACAAAATGGAGTCGCCGAAAGAAAAAATGGACACCTTCTAGAAGTTGCAAGGTCTCTCACGTTTACAACTCATGTTCCAAAACATCTCTGGGGAGAAGCAGTTCTTACAGTTGCCTATCTCATCAATAGGATGCCATCTAGAGTTCTAAAATTTCAAACCCCTTGCCAAACCCTCACCCGAATCCATCCTCAAACAAGAATCATTTCTTCCTTGCCATTAAAAGTATTTGGTTGTTCAACATTTGTTCAC